CCCAGACCCCCACCGCCCCATCACACAAACACAGAGGGAGAGAGGGAGAGAGGGATCATTAGGACAGACACGGAGCACACCCACACCCATACCTCTCTGTCTGTCTGTCTCTGTGTGTGTGTATGTCGTGTGTGTAGGCTGATGTGGTGAAGGGCTCGTTTGTGAAGTTCAAGTTTCACTGGAGCGGTGAAATCGGCGGACGAATTGGGCGCGTCTCTGAGCCACCCAACTCATCAGTAACCAAACACCCACCCTCAGACACAGACAGACCGACAGACAGAGACAGAGAGAGGGGGGGGCATCCGTGTGTGTATTGTGTGCAGGGTGAGTTTGCGTGTGACTACTTCTACATCCTGCCGGACGTCAGTGTCTTCAAATGCAGCATCGAAGACAACCCACACGAGGCAACCACCACCACACCCTCCCCGACACACAGAGGACAGATGCTGTGTGTGTGCCTGTGTCTGTCTGTGTGCGTATTGGGTTCGTATAGGTCATTGCGCGAAGGCTGATGCGTTGGGTGCGTCTCGACTTTGTGGAGGCGATGGTCACCGTCACCCACCTGCCGCCCTTCTGTGAGGTCCCCAACCCCAGCAGAGACATACAGGCACGTGGGACACACACACACACACACAGAGAGAGAGAGAGAGAGTGTTGGTGTGTTCTATATCTCTCTGTGTGTGTGGTTGTGTGTGTAGGGAGTGCGTTCGGATCAGCTGAAGGACTACTGGTGCCGGTGCCACCTGCGCCAGTTCGAGAAGCAGTTCATCAAGCCCAGTGAGTGCTCACCCACACAGCCCCACGCCCCCTTCCCTGTCTGTCTCTCTGCACAATGGATGTGTGTGTATGTGTGTTAGACGATCCGGCGTACAACCTGGTGCTGGAGCCACTGGAGCCAAGGCACGGCCTCTTCGCATCAAAGTAAGTACCCCAATATACACACACACACACACACACACGAACACGCTGTGCACTGATCTGTATGTGTCGTATATATATATATGTGTGTGTGTGTGTGTGTGGAGGTACGTCGACGAGTACAACCGGCGTCGGTTCTCGCTGAGCGGCGACTACTTCAAGGGCAAGTGGCCGGCTGCCGACATGTTCGCTGGCGGCGGTATGTATGCACAGACACAGAGAGAGAGCCTTTGTGTCAATGTCTATGTCTGTGGTGTGGTGTGTGGTAGGCGGGACGTCTATTGGCCTCACCAAAGGCGGCATGGACGTCGAATGGGCCGTCGAGCGCGTACACACACACACATCCCCCCCCCCTCCC